AAAAAAAAAAGGAGAAAAGGCCGTGTGGTCATTAAAAACTTGACTGTTACATAGTAAACAGCAAGTTACCCCACAAAAGGGCACAAGGCACAAGCATACTGTACCCTTCATTCATACACGTCAATCAAACACACCTCTTCCTCTCTCTTATCTTTTCAATCATCTCATCTCTCTCACTATTTCGTTTGTGTTGCAGGAGCTGGACTACTGTACACATTCACTCAACTGTATGATTGATTGGAAATGTAAACATGAATGAGAAGCAAGAAAAGAATAATATCAAGTTCAACACACATTTGAGATTCCAACTTCAATCTACTTGTAAATTGTAATACATTTTAGTACTCGTATTAATGTTTGTAATATAGATAGAGTTCTGAACTTCTAAGTTCTAACTACAAAGAAATTAAGCTGAGTTTCATAGGAAATCGAGGCTCAATTACAACAACTTCATAGCTAAGTTATTGTTGTAATACAATATCAATATAAGGATTTCAAAGAATTACTGATTTCAATTTTCAACAAAACAAAAACAACATTGGAAGAAACAAGAACAAGTTCTAATTCCTCCAGTGCATCTTCATGTTCTCTTTTCAACTATGCATGAATGAAAAAAAAAAAGCCAGATATTAATTATATTCTTCAAAGCAACATCTAATTAATCTTGACAAAGAAGAATAAGTTTTGAATATAACAAGGAGATTGTATACACAACTTTAACCATATCAGTACCTAACAGTAACAAGTGTAAACAAGAATACAGAATCTCATCATCAATTACAAGAATAGAATCAATTCCCATGACCCATATGTTCTTACCATCAAAGTTACATAACTCTAGCTACAAACCACACAGATCTCAAAGACAAGTCATGTAGAACAAAAGGGTTATTACCAATCTTCACCAGATCAAAGGTTGAAGATAGGGATGAAATCTCAGATCAAATCATCTTCATGAAACCCTAAATACAAATTCATTAGGAAGAAAATGATATGATGATGTAATGATGAACACAAAAAGGCAAAACTTAGCCATCATATAGCTACCAAGATCTAGAAAATAATGAAAGGGTAATGATGAAAAAACCTTTTCTTCATTCAGTCAGACTGAAGAAAGGAAGAAAGAAAGA